CCCCCCAAGCCGCAGAGGCCTTCAGCCGAAACGGCTCCTCCCTCTCTGGGTTCAAACCCCAGAGAACCAACAAACCAAATTCTTTGGACAATTACCTGACGGGATAACCTCCCATCAGCAGCAACAGACCCCAGTTTGAACGGTCGAGGTTCCCGCCACGACGGATCCCTGTTAGCGTTAGCAAAGCGATGAATGTACCAATAGACCAACCAACCAACGAACCAAAAAGCTAACTAAGGGCGCGATTGGCTATTGGCATAATCATCGCCCTGATGACGGAGGCACTATGACCTCTGAACGTTGGTTATCATCAACCAGACTACACAGCGCAACAACCCACAAGGCTGAAATCTGACGCTAACGGTGTCTTAGTCAATAAAGAATGAGGTACTGTCTGGATGCGTCTTCTATTTGTCGGATTATCTCAACAGTACCGATATTCTTTGAACATTCGACGTGGTTCTAAAATTTGATTTCAATGTGAATTACTGAGATAGTGAAGTGACACATTCTCCATGCGATCACAGACACAAATCACTGCTGTAGCTTATCGTAAAACAAAACCATCTCGTCTACCTTCAGTATACGTGAGCCAATAACCGAAGCAGTTGATGCACCACGTGTTCATAACTTTGAGTGTGGCTCTTGTAACAGTGAACTTTACATACCTGGCCTTGGTGCCCCCGTCGCTCTCTTCTCCCTTGGCATTCTCGCTTTCCTTGTCACGTTTCGAACGTTCCTGGAAGAGAGAAGATGCGATTCACTAAACCCTGGCAAATCGGATGTCCCTCTCTCTCCTCCCTTGGCCGTCTTGCTTTCCTTGTCACGTTTCGAACGATTCTGGAAGAGAGAAGATGCGATCCACTAAACCCTGGCAAATCGGATGTCCCGTCATAACACTGACAATGTTACAGTACTCACGGCATCTCTGCCGTTACAAAAATGAACACTTATCCTGAAATTTTCCCGTTACGGCGTACAAAATATTGGTTTGTGAGGTGTCATCGCATTTCCCGTTACGGCATATAAAATATTGGTTTGTGAGGTGTCATCGCAAGTGAAGATGCAATTGTTTAAATTCGCTAATTGTCGCTGGGATCCACGCCTCGGTTTTTATTGGAGTTTAAGCTACACTGCAATAGAATAATGTGGAATGGATCTCGGTATTAGCATGAAAAGTCACGTCAGTTAAAAGGCTGAAATTTTGACGAAGTGTAAGCAGGGAAATTTTGTGTGTTTGGTCATTATTTATTTTACACTAAAGTTAAAATGTCTAGTTACACGAGATTATAAAATTAAAGGAAATTCTAAACTCTGGATGGGTCAGATACATAAAATGTTATTACAGGCCTTTGTGTAAGTAATCTGTCTAAAGCATTTCAGCAGTGGATACTAAAATTTTGCGTAAATAATCCATTACTTTCAGGCACGGTTCACTTGAGTTCTTAACGAAAATGTAAAAGTATTAATCGGCCAAACTTACAAAGTTCCTATTAACGCCAGAAATTTAGTTTTCTAACCAGACTAGATTTTAATTTCACACAGAGTCAGGCATGATAATGACTATCTTTTTGGGATGTTTCTCCTTATAGACTGGTAGAATTGGACCAGCGTTCCAGATATGGTTACTGTCTCCATCACCAGGTCGATTACAGTGGTCTCATTAGGCACCACCGATGCCTTCGTCAAATTCTACCGCATTATACGGCCTAACATCCCTCAAGACGGTAATCTTCAGCTTTATAACTGTTTCATTTAACTCTTCAATCCTAGAATTGAGAGGTATTCTACTTAGTTGTACTTAAGCACACATCTACTGCAGAGTATCTGAAGCTCCTGTAAACCTACATACGGATCCTAGCGTCAGTTAGCATAATTAAACATGTAAGTATCAGTTTACACATCTTTATAACAGATCATTCACTTCTCAGTCCTTGTACCTGAAGAACACCTGCTTAGATTGATGTATGTAGTGCAGAGCAAGTAATTTGATGTGGGGCAAAGTCGTGAACTTGGTTATTCTCACAGGCTACATGTTTAAATATCGGGGCAGATGTTCTTTTCAGTTATAACATTTATTTTTATTTTTGTTAAGAACCATGTCTAGTAAAAATTTCAGTTGGAATAGTGTGTTCTGTTCGAGAGCTCACTCCGCCACACTTATCATTCAAGAAAGAAAACTAGAAACAAACCATAAAGCATCTTTTCATACTGCCTTAATTTTTGCTTCTACAAATCTTAAGATGTCAGTTTCACATTTAAGTAAATCAAGTCTACAGCTAATTCAAATATAACTGTTGTGTTAAGATCTTGATTTTAATTTCTTAGCTCCAAGTTTAGTTGAAATTCACTGTCATACTGAAGGATCGAAATGACTTTCGCATTACTGCCATGTTTTATTCCCTTTACAATATCACAGATAAATATCTTCGAAACTCTATTGACGTACATCGTTTCAGGATTATGTGTTAATTTTGAAAATCCTTTGATTCTTAAAGAAACTGTACGTAAACGTCCGTTAGGTGTTGGCTTCCTCTCATCAAACATCCACATTTTAGCGTTTGCATTGTCGTTCTCTGAATGTACACTTATAATTGTAAGATACGAATAGTAATGCTTAAAGCACAGGAAGGGTTTTAAAATTTTCTTCCAGATCATCGCTTCAAATTCTGCCTCTTCATTCATGAACATCCTTACAAATTTTTGTACTTCTAATTTACGTATATTTAATGTTCTTTCAAACAAACAGGGTTTAACTTACTAACGAAAAGGCTGAAGCAAAGTGTTTCTTGAAAACATGATAGTCGTTCGAGTAGTCAAGAAATCCCCCAAATTTTATGGGACTTCAGATTCAGCACCGAGGTCACAAGATCCCGTTACCTGCCCTTGTCCAATGCCTTATGAATCCAATCAACAATTTTCCATCCGTTGCTTTAGTTTCATTTTAATATTGTCCTCTCAATTACGCCTAGAAATTCATGTCGTCTTTCCTCTTTAGTCATTCCCAAGAACATTTTTACCCAGTTTATACCTGCAACAATCAAGCTGTACGTTTTCAACTAACTAACTAACTAGATGGC